TCACGGTAAGGGGGCGACCACGAGCCAGAGTGACTCACACTGAAAAGCTCGTGCGGCCAACAAGGACCCGGCTAGGGTGATCGCACGCCGAACGTGACGTTTCCACGCCAAGGAGAGCAGATACTGGGGAGCCTGCGAAATTCTAAGATTTTATTCATGTCTCTCGGAACGACGCACGCTTTTGCGAAATTTTACAGCCAGGCAAAATCCCTCCAGAGCTCGACGCTGTGAATCCAATGGATTTGTTTCAGGAGGAACGCTATCGAGTTTGAGTTGCCGATCGGGAGTGTCGAGAGACAATTCTCGTCCCCGTCGAACTCTCGGAGAACAGAAGAATTTTTTTTCCGAGGGAATAATGCTCGCTCACTCGCGATCGTTCGCCGAGGAAGATGGGTTGGTTTGTTTATTTGTTCGAGGGTTCAGTCGTTTGTTCGAAGCCCGATGTTTCCTTTCCCACGTTGTTGTCGTTGAGCTCGGTCCCTCACCCATCCACAGGGAAGGGACGGAGAGGGCCGTGGGCGGTCGCGGGAACCGGCGGGAGTTGGGGAGTTGTGGGACCATGAACACGGCACGTCACTCGCGGTCTACTCCCTCAGCTGTTTGGACTTATCTGAACAGAAACAACGGCGGCAGTATTTCGACACCGCGCGCAACAGACCTCGACGTAGTGCGTCGTCGGCAGCTCAAAGTTCGCCAAAATCCTGTCGTATGGACGTCGAGATTCCACGCTCGCCGGAAATTCCTGACGGGAAACTCGATTTATGTTTGTCGATGCTCACGTTGGAGAGTTTTGTGGCGTGAATGTCTTCCGTTCTATAGTTCCTGAACTTTCGGTTTACGCTCAATCAACGAGTCTAGACAAAATACCGGATAAGCTCCGAGGCAGCAACGCCGACTTAAATCTACGGAGACGAAGTTTGTTGGTTGTCACCGTCATCGCATATTGGAAGAGTTCAGAGACGTGACGTTCGAATTTGTTCGTTCCGGGAACTACAACTAATAATTTGCACGCTTCTCGGTAAGTGACATCAGCGCGCATCGGAAGATCCGGCACCATGACGTCGCGACTTCTTCTTGAGTTGTTTTGGGGGGCCGACTTGTGATGAGCCGTTGAATGACATGATGTGGAAATTCTTGCGGACGTACCACAGAACTTTTTCGACGAGACCCTCATATGAACATACCGACCACATTCGTAGAAAGCGATCCGGGGTTTGGACCGAGCGTCTGACTGAACTTCTGGCGATGAGAGATGACCTCCGTTCCCGGCCGTCTCTATTCCGAGGGTTCTTGTTTTCAATCTCCTGCCCGGCGGCGGATCCCATCTACCTCGCAACATACGCGCTTCGTGACAGATCGCTGTTGGAGACGGATCGCATCGACGAAGCTCATTAACTGTTGCTAAAACTTTTCCGAAAAGTTTCGCAGCGCGGGCCGTGCTTCAATTGCTCGGGCTCTGTCGCCGCCGCCGCTGCTGCTGCTTCTTCTTCAGGCGGCGGCAGCAGGAGCGGGGGCGATGGAGGCTCCGACGGCAGCCGTGAGCGACCAAGTCGCTCCGCAATGGGATGTTTTTAATGACACAATTGCCCGCGGCCATCGCTGTTTTGCTCGGCCTTTGAGGAGTTTTAGGTTAACAAACAGAGAACAACATCAGGTACATCATTTGAAGAACTCAATTGGCCCATACGAGGGTCGACTCCCCAATTCCGTCGCACTCCGGATCCGACACCCGGAACCGGAGCAGCTGCGGAAATTCTCTCTCAACGTGCTCCGCATCGCGCGAGATGACCAACAGTTACTCGAGTCGAAGTTCCTTTCCCCTCGAGAGATTATCGCTCTTGGCAATTTGTTTTTTAACGAAGTCTCCGGCGAGGCCGGGAGCGATTAGAGATTCATGCGCCGATGGTTTCCGTCGACCCGCGACGGATGTTTCGCAAGTTTGAAATGAATGCTCCCATTCGCTTAGCGGTCCGAGAACTTTCTCGTATTCATTTCTGAACCCGAATAATGAAGTCCCGCGCCCGTTCCCTCCCGATATCCGGGAACGCACGGACGGAAGCTGCGGACGGAGAGAGGCAGACGATGCAAGGGCGAGGGCGCAAGAAACGTTTCACTTTTAAAATTTTGATCGTCGATCTCTCTGCTGCAGAGGAGGCTCCGAAAATTCTTGTATTCTTCCCTCTGAACGTTCTGGATAGTTTGGCTGACAAATCGAAAGCCATGTAATCGAGGTCATCGCGTCTCGAATCGAGAACGAACGACCTGTCGCCGTAGTAAAAATAAGTCATCCGACCCTCCGGGAACATGCGGGTTCTGAAGATGAGCTCCAACGTAGTTCATCGAGGTGTTCGTTGAAGCCTGCATGTGATCATCCTTGATTTAATTTGATCGGGATCGTTCTCGTTCCGCATCGCCAGCAGGAGCACGAGAGACTTGAACAATCTTGGCCATTTAATGAGACCGAGAGCCGGAGACCGAATTTGGATTCTCATGCGTGGAATCACATTGACGGTGCGTCCGCTCGAGAGGACCCGCGAAGTCATTTAGGCAAAAGTTTCCCCTTGATAGTAGCCTTCAAACTTTAGTCTGCAGATGACAGATGAAACGGAGACGGCTTTCACTCTAAGCAGAGCTCGAAAAAATTGAACGCGCACCACTCGGGGAGCTAAAAATGCCGCACCGTCTCTGTTCTCTCTGTGATTCGTGTTTTCTTGACGATCACAAATAGAGCTTGTCGAACCCGTCGGTCCAGTGTGATAATTCTTGATCGGTGCCAAGACGGGACAGACCGAAGTGCGGGAACACTTGACATCTGGACAAGGCTGTGCGGTGACGGGACGGACGTCAAACGGTTGAGATCACTTGATCAAATTAACGGAACGTTGAAAAGAATCCGCTCAAGAGAAAGGCCAATCGGGTCTGCCGGTTCCTCGACCCGACCTTATTTAGCACACTTTAATTAGAAGGGAGAGCCCGCTCCGGACCGAGGGAAGAAATCTGAGCAACCGGCGATGGAGAGCTTCATTCGGCTTATTTTTCGTATTATAAACTACACTCCAATCAGGATTCTATCGCTGATGGAATTCTTCCCTCTGACCTTCCGGCTGATTCCGGAAACTGGAAGTTTGTTTGCAGCAGTGGGGAAAGGCGAATAATCCGAGAAGCCCCGATTTCCGCGAACTCGAACGAGGCTCTCGTGAATTCACGGCGATACTACTTGCCGGTGTCACTTGTAGCGCTTCGGAGCGCAAATCAAGTGGGTACTTCATTGACAGAGGCGATGCAACGCGGGTTTGCTAGGATAATCGGTTGCCGGGACAACCTGAAAAGGAACGGGATTTTTCCCTGCAAAATCTCGCCAACCAGTCGAAACCTTCGGTCATTTTCCCGCACTGATGTGCAACGCTGCAATAGTGGAACATTTTGCCAGCTTACCCTTAACGGCTCCTCCTCCGACCCTGGACAAGGATCACGTTTGCGACTAAAAGTTGCTGCTGGAAGCTTATCGCCGAAGGCGTTCGTACCGAGTAACCTTCGGTGCCCTCATTGGAAACGGCAGCTGTGACCTGAGTGCTCCAAGGCTGCCTAAGGTGTACATTTACAATCGGTGTACATTCCGACGCGCCATTGGTTCCGGTTGACGAATCGGCATGCCGTCGAGCTCTATCCCCGTCGCGAGTGTCGAAAAGTACTCAACTCATTAATACACCATTTCCTTTAGTTCAGAACTTTGTGGACGAGATGTGACAATGCCACAATGAGGAGCGTCGACGAGTAGCGGATAGAAGAGTTCAGTGCTCAGCCAGGGAGAAAACGTGCCCTCCGACGTGTCAACCCGGAAAGCTTGTGTCGCGAGATGAATTGGAACATTTCTGCTCGCTCCAAGTTGTTTGTCTCCCGGAGGATTAGGAGGATCAGAACCCTCCCCGTGGTCCTTGTTCCCCGGAGGAGGTCTCTGCAAGGGTGGCCTTTGTTCTGTCGTAGTGTGGACTTTGCGACGCTCCGAGGTCGCGTCGGTTGTTAGCGTAGTCGAAATATTCTGCGGTACGAAGGTCGCGGCTCGGGCTTGTCAAGTATATTTCTTTCTGGTTCCTAAGAACCTCCCGATTCGACCGCTCAGACAGTCTCCCGTGCTGTGGGTCCCGCTCCGAAATGATGAATTCACGTTCCGCAGGAGCTCATCGAGAAAATCAGGAAGGTCGGATGGACGACGATGAGCGCGGTTAGCCTCCAAGAACGCTGTAGCTTGATGGCGGAAATTCCGCCAAGTCCACGGGAACTTTTGTCCTCCTCAATGAACTTCATTTTTCGTTTCTTTTCAGGAAGTAGGACCGGATCAGTGTGTCACCTCGAAGTGCCTGAACCTCCGTGGAAGCGATCACCAAAGTTTCCGGAGCAGCAGAATCCAGTGGAGCAGCCGACGTTCTATTTCATCTCGGCCAGACGGGGTTCTCGACGCCTGAACGCTTGTAGTACCATGAGCGGTCTCGCACCAAAGGAATCGAGGCTTAACCCGACGAGGATCGGAACTCCAAGCTTACGCGGACGATGATCTACTCGCTGGAGATTCGCTGATCGGAAAATTCGATCTCGTTTCGGTATTCCTCGAAACTGAGTCTACATCTATCGATCAGCGCTTCAGATTCGGATATATCCCGGTAACCCAAAGGCCTCGCGGGCCAGCCATCCCGAGGAAGCTCCGATTGTCTGCACCGAATAATTCCCGATGTTAGCGAAGGACACTCACGAACGGATTTGAAGTTCTACTAACATGAATGTGTTTCGCTGAGGAGAAGTGTTGGAGGCGGCGACGGTGGTGGGGAAGGTTCCCGTCATTGTGTTTGGTGCCATCGTTGTTGTCGTCGTTCACGTCGTCGACGTCATCGTCGTCGTCTTCATCCTCGATGTTGATGTTCCTGTGCTGTTACTCGCAGCTACACAAATCGATCGAGTGAGGATCCGGTGTGATCTGAATGAATCGCTCGATTCAGCGCGCTATAATGTACCATGAATCAACAGTAGGCAAAGAGATGGATGATGCTATGCTAAGCTCGACGTCAGCTGCTGATGTCACAACCTCAGCTGTCTTCACTCAGGTTGTCAATGGATCTGCACAGTGGCTCGGAACCTCGAATTCGACTTTGGCCTCGGACAGCTCCGACGCGCCTAGTCTAGTATATACGGTGTTGATTTCAATTTTGTTGGGAGTGATCATTTTGACAACTATCATAGGCAACGTTTTCGTTCTCATGGCCATTTTCCTGGAACGGAATCTGCAGACGGTCGGGAATTATCTCGTACTTTCATTAGGTGTCGCCGACCTTCTGGTGGCGTGCCTTGTAATGCCTCTTGCCGCGCTCGATGAGGTCAAAGGCGGGTGGACTCTCGGGGCCGTACTTTGCGACATGTGGACCTGCTGCGATGTGCTCTGTTGCACTGCGTCCATATTGCACCTCCTCGCAATCGCGTGGGACCGCTACCGAACGGTCACGAGCGTCGACTACGTCCGCCAACGGAACGCAAGTAATATACGTCACATAATCTTGCTGGTTTGGGGCGCCTCGTTGATCATATCGTCGGCACCGATTTTCGGCTGGAAAGACCACGGCTACGCGACGAGAATAGCGAACCGAATCTGTTTAGTAAGTCAAGATACTGCGTATCAAATATTCGCAACCGCAACGAGTTTCTATGGGCCTCTGATAGTAACACTGTTACTCTACTGGAAAATATATCAGGTTGCGAGGAATCGGATCCGACACAAACCAGGAGCAAAAGTCCCTCTGACGGTCAGTGTGAACTCGGGTTTGACTTCGCCCCCGATCTCTGACGGTCAATGCGAAATTTCCGTCATCCAAACGGGGGACAGCCCCAAGTTGGCCAACGCGAACCATGGCGCAAACGGTCAAAACGAAGCGTCTCCCAGCACCAGTCTGACGGTCGGTAACAATTTAGGAGCACCAATAGTGACTAAGCCAGCTCGAGTCTCCCACAAGGAAACGCTCGAAGCTAAACGTGAGCGCAAGGCCGCGAAAACCCTGGCCATCATCACTGGAGTGTTCGTTGTCTGTTGGCTTCCGTTTTTCGTGAATGCTTTCGTGAGTGCGGTATGTGGCGAAACGTGCGAAGTCCCTCGAGCCGTCAACTCCCTGTTCCTCTGGCTGGGTTACATCAACTCGATGTTGAATCCCATAATTTACACTTTGTTCAGTCCCGACTTCCGGAACGCCTTCCACAAAATACTGACGGGCAACAGGCGAGGGCAGCACATGGCCTTTAAGCGATGATATTGAAATTCGATCGACATCCGCCAGTCGCCGGTAATTGAGAACTCTCTGGCCCAGGTCCCCTCGGTGCAATAGGGTCTGGCTCGGTCGGCGCTCTATGGTCGAGCTTCAGACGGCTCCCGCCGAACCAGAGGAGCTCGAAAATCACGCGGGAGAGTTCAGGCCTAATTTTTTGAGAGCTTGGCATGTATATCTAGGATATCGATCGAAGAGGAGGATATCTGGCCTGCTGTACATAGCATAAGAATGACCTAAGGTAAGCGTTGAAAAACAAAGTCTTCGTCTACCCATTGAAGTTTAGTGTTTGCTAAAATGATGTTCAAAACGGAGGAAGTTCAATGTTATCAAGTTTGAGGTCCTTCACGTGATCTACGTTATTGACGTAATTGAGGCTCGTAAAATATTTTTCGCTACAAGAGCATCGAATTCCCTCACGAGCCTCGCCCGAGGCCGAGTCCGACGCATGAGTCTAATCTGAAGAAGAGATGAACGACACTCAAATATTCCGAACGCGTACAAAAAGCGTTGAATGATGCCCCTATATGACCGCAAAGTGAAAAACTACTTGAACGTCCGATTTGATGAAAAACTTAACCACGGATTGAATTGATGAGCTCGAGGTGATCTCCGGTCGGGTGCCTTGATTGATCTCTGAAATGCCGGTCATGGAGTATTAGGTACGTACATAGTCGTCGAGTACTCTGTGCTTTGTCCGAAACACTGAGGTCATTCATGTCACGGGATATATGATAAGCATTGGTTTGAACGGAAATTTTAATAAGATGGAAAACACGATCGAGAAAGCATATGGACGGAGACGCTTGATGATGTGTCCAAATTGTTCGACCTCCAATCATTGAAGTATCGACGTCAGCTGGTCGTGGTTGATCCGAAATGTGATCTCTTGGATGATTGTCTAGAAATAAACTTCCATCGAAGTCGAAATGCGTTTTGCTCGAAGTTCCGGAGATCTTCCATCGGAATCGTTCCAGACGTCTCTCTATCGAGAATTTTCAGATCCTCAGGGAGAGGAGGATTGCTTCCTCCCGACGGGCGAACTCGATTCTTTTTACTTACGCCGAGGAGGAAACAAACTCCTCTGCAAAGCCTCTTTTCGACGAAACGTCGAGCAATACTAGCCCGCCTGCCGCCGGAAGCTCTGATTGTTTCCCTTGGGGAAACTGTTTCCGAGGAATACTGAAACGCCTGTGGAGATTCTGATGGCGAAATCATATTCGCAAAATATGAGAGCAATTTCAAAAAAGATCATCAGTCGAAAGTGCTTTCGTTCGAGCCAAGCCCGCGGGCGGATTCGCGCACTCCGTAGCGTGTCAGGGTGCTCTCGGAACGGAGAGGAGGACGACGCGAGGTCATCGAGAGAAAGCGCAAACGCCGAAAGCCAAGATCATCTCTCTACCGGACGCGTACGTGCTTTCTGTATAGTGGCCATCAGCGGCGTCATCAAGTTCTCGACGCTGAGCGAGCGAGCGAGCCAGGGAGGAGCAGACGAGGCAAGGTTTGCTTCGTTTCTAGCAGCGAAATGCTCCTCTTCTCCCGTAGAAGTTCCATGAGACGGTCTGGGCAAAGGAGGAATTTCTTGATTCGAATGTACCATCTCGAAGGAAAATAGCAAGCACGAGCCCTTCCCGCAAGGAGGAAATAATTGGACTTTGAACCGCTACTGCCCGCTATTTCCCTGTCTCCGTCCGAGATGGCAGAAGCGCTCGGACGCCGCCGTCAGCATTCCGCGCCACCTGTACCATGAACGTGATGCATCAATCTTTATTTGTGCAACACCACTCCCATGCTCAAAACTTCCCCTGTCACGTATCCGATCACGTCAAGACATAACACCCAAGTCGAATTTAGAAGGAGTCACCGAGTTGCTGACACTCGGAAAAGAGCTGATGGTGACTTCGGACAGGATTCAGCTTCACATCTACTCCCATGGGGCCCTTCCCACCGAACGAATGACCAAACGGATGTTTAGCAGCCGAATGAGAACGTCGGCGTCGAGCGATATGAGCGAAGCGCCTTCCTTCAGAATTGACCCGATGAAAAGACCAACCGTGAGACTTCCCGCCCTAAGGTCAACAAGCATCTCGACGGCGGACCTTTCATCGAGGTCGATTCCGATGAATCGGCGACTCAAACCGCTAGGTCGACAGCGATGCTGATCGTGAAGATTGCGACGTGGCAGATTGTCACGTTTAGTCGCCGCTCGATCAGGGAGGGAGCACTAGTTTATGCTCTCGGGGCTTAGCTTTCGAGACAACTCCGAGCGAAACTAGAGCTGTGGGCGACGAGAGAGAGATGTCGGCGGTCATGTAAACATTCGTCTAATGACCCAATAGCGCTGAATACGCTACTCTCAGTCAGACCTCTCGATCCTGACACCTATTCTCATGGAGGGCTCAGGTCCCTTTCTTTCGGCATGGCATCAGAAGGGCGAGGGTTTGCGCACAGTTAAAAGACGTGCATTCATCCTGACTCGTTCGCAACGGCTCGTAGACGATCCCTCTCAGAGCGGCGCGAGACGTGTGAGCGCCCTAGCAGTCAAGCTTTTCGAGATATCCTTTTAGAATCGACTGAACCAAGGTAGTTACTGTCCCTTCGGATCCGATCTCTGACGAGGCGAGTCGTCATGCGTGAAACCAAAGTGAATTTGATTTCCAGAGCCAGGAAGAAACCAGGAGGTAGAAAAGGACACAATGGAATCATCCGCGCTTGCGGTCCCGAACGGGGCTTCCATGAATTGGGAAAAGTTTCAGGAAAATCGGAAACGTCGAGTAACTTGAGCCGTGAGAGAGGTCTTCCCTGAGAGATGTCGCAGAGCTTTCGCAGAGACGAATGGTGGTCGCTCCGTGTGTGATTGCTGCCGGAAAGGCAAACAGACAAAGCGAACGACGGAAAAAGTCAGGAAACCAGGGGTGGAAAGTGGTAACAGCTGCTTTACGCCAAATTGAATTTAAGTTCGGAATGGCTTCTCGAACCAATTCGTGAAACCTTGCCAGCATCTGCCGCCCGTCGCGTACCTCAGACTTCGCGGTCGAAGGAGCTCATCTCGATCTTCGGGGTTGGGAGAACAACCAATAGGACGTCCCTTTTTGGGGTAGATGGAACAATTTCAGGAACACGTCGCTCGCCAGGGGATGCATGGAAACAGCCTTGATGATGGGCGGAAGAATAATCTCTCGCTCGTGATGGGCGAGCAGTAGCTCTCCTGATACCTCCTCGAGAGCTCTATGAAACATGATCCGCCATCTAGATCGATTCGGATTCGAATTCAAGCTTTTCCCTCAGGAACCCCATGGAACAAACACTCCGAGGAAAGTTCGGTGACAATAGACAAGAGAATTCCGGATTCGAGAATTGCGAAAACTGCGTGATTCCGACGGCCTTCTCCTCTCATCGTGTCGGTTGTTAAGAGGGGCAATCACATAGCGATGGGACGATCCGTCGGCGCAGTCAGATCCATCGGAGGAGGACCAGCATTGACTGCTTGAGCGCTGATGTTCTGTCCGACGAATCGTGAAGCTGCTATGGACACAATAGGAGACATTACTCTGGCACTCCGTCGCAGGAAATGTTCTCTTAGCCCGGGGGCCGGAAAGGGGGTTCTCGTCGTTGCGAGAAGATTTATGACTCCATGAATGCTTCCACCTCCAGACGATGGAGATAAAGGAACGCGAACTGAGGCGGAAGACCGACAGCTTGGAATTCGGGTACGGTAACGATTGCGCAAGCCGATAGATTCCGCACCATCCGATACGGCTGGGTCAGGAGTTCAGGTCGCGGGAACAGCAGAGATCAAGACGGAACAGTTCCGGAAACTGGGAGTCCCTTCTTTTGCGAAGATAGGAGTTCTCGATGCCGGTTCCGAATGCATCAAAGTTGGAGCCGTGTTTTAACGGCGGTTGAAAGACTCATTTCTGGAAGGTATTCAGGACCGTTCGAAGTATTTTGGAGGCCGCTCCCGGAGAGCTGTGAATAATATTTCTGCAATGATGGCATCTTCGGAGTGCTTGTCAGAGGAAGTGGCCGGCTCGCCAACGATTGTAAAACCTTCGAATACGATGGCGAATTCTCGACGTTACCTTCTTCTCGTCAGAGACGCCATCCGGGACCGACTCCCGACTGAAATGCGAACCCTTGTCGCGCGAAACAACTCTTCCGATCGAGAGCCAATGATGACGAGAATTCATGGGCGGGAGATGAGTTCAAGAATCACATATTCGACGACTTCGTCGATCAGATACGACAAGGACTTCACAATCGAATGCTGCCGAATGTGCAGCACCACACCATTACGCGTCCGTCATGACGGCTCTGATTAGTCGAGAGACCGGCGACAGGGTGAGCAGGAGATCACTCGCAGGGATTCCGAGTGAGTGTAAGAGAGAAACTCATAAACGCAAAACTTATTCGTCCACATTAGTAGGTCGGAGCTGAAGTCGATAGTGACTTCCTTGCGACCAATCTCTTCGCGAGGAAACAACAGATGTTATCAGGAAAAGTCAGTAATGGCACGCGGGAAAACGCCGCTCAGCGCCTCTGCTTCGCTGACGTGTGCTGCATCGTCCTCAACCTTATCAAACATTGCTCTACCAATTTACGCCGACCCTGATCTGTCATTCAGATGATTCTTCCGAGCATTAATCCATTTCGCAACTCACTCATCGTCCGAATGATCTACGATTCGATCAGCAGCTAGCGGCAGCCAAGCAATTTTCGTGCATCTCGTCGGAGAGTGGACGATGAGAGACTTTCCACTTCGCCTTATGCCTTACGGAGGGGTTCTCCCGAAGCGGAACGGACTGAGGGCGGCTGCTTATCTGCGAAGGACGCTGAGGCTCTCTCAAAGCCGAGCCGCCGTTCTGAGCCGGGCACTATCGGTCGATCGGTACTCGAGCTTCGGACTCACTCCGCTTTCCTCCTCGGAGCTTATTCGCAACAGTTGCGCACGGAATCGAAACGCTTATCCTTCCGAAAAGCTCCGC